AAAGTCTTTGTAAATAGGGAAGGATGGAGGGGTTGAAGGGAGGGCAGGGGAATGGGGAAAAAATAAGAACCAAGAGAAATTAAATAAAGGTGCAAATTTCCAATGATGAATGTCATTATATTGTATATCTAAAATGTACCAATAAAATTAATTTTAAATAATAAGAAAAAATTACATGATATTCAAGAATCTCATTTGTACAAAGGTTAAAAACCAAAAATCCCACTTTGCACTTCAAAGGAAATGCCATACTTTCTTACTAACTTCTTGGAAGCACATTTTCTTTTCTCTCCTCTATTATAGGCTTATTCAGCTTCCATCCTCCTCAGAGATGGAAAATCTAACATCACACACTTGTACAAGAAAATAGGTTATTACTCACTCTTCTTCCACTCAGTGAAGTGCTAAGTGAAGTCAACCTAGCTTAAGGTCAGAGAAAGAAAAAGAAGTTGTCACCTGAGATGTTGGATACTAGAATATCCTGTGCATTAGGAGAGCAATGGTAAAGACCACCTGAGGTGTTTTGAGCTCTCATGATGTCACCTGGCTAGGCACTGTTTATCAGGTGACATTTACTGAGCAGCTGAGGGACTCCAAGAGTAAGCAGCTGTCCACAGGACATGTTTCAGAGATGTGTACATCACATTTCTCCATGGGTTCCTAAAGCCAAAGGCTTCTCCATCAGTGCCTTAGAACAGCATCTGGGGTGGAATAAGGCATATGGTCCAGGCACAGTTCAGGAACACTCCCTGAGGATGCCATGGTAACCTTTTATTCCACTGTCTGCAATGGCCCCACTATTCTGTTCTATTCCTGACATGATGTTCAGTGATGACCGGGATTCATTTCTCCCTATTCAGTTCAAGTTGTAGCCACATAATAAAATACATACTGACAAGATTTCCTGAGGCTTTCAGGTGCACTCAGCCTGGCAGGCTGCTGGTTGATACATTTCTGGATCTAGTGGTTAAACAGAGGCACCTATTGCTTCCAGACTCTAATTGGAAACCAAACAGATGCTGTTTAGTATTAGTCATTCAGAGGACAGTTAAGGATCATTTGATTAATTTATACAACAAAATACTTGTGAAGTCCCAACTATGTTCCAGGCATTATGCTCAGCATGGGTTAATACAAATATAAACAAGGCATACCCTAGAGGAGCTCATAGGAAAAGTGCACATGTATAAAGTGTTCTGAGTGCAAGATTAGAGAAGAGGAAAGGATCTTTAAAGGAAGAACATTTAACCTGTTTGAATGGCTGGGAAGGCTTCCTCAAGGCAATGATGGCTTGGAGGAAAAGAGGGAATAAAGAAAAGAGCATTCCAAACAAAAGGAAAAATATAAGCAAAGTGAAAGAACGTGAAATCAGGATATCATTGCATGTGGCTTTCTATTGCTAGAACACAAAATATATGTGCATGGCAGGAGTGGCAACTGGCCAGCAGAGAGCCAGATAGAGGGGGTACAGGGCAGGTCAAAGAAGGCTTTATGGCCTGTGCTAAAGAGATTTATTCTATGGACACTGGAGAGCCCTTGAAGGCTCTAAGCAAGGAAGAGACATTGTTAATTTCCTTCGCTATTGCTTATAGCTACTAACCTGGACATTGACAAAGACAAGTTCTTCCTGGGCTGGAGATTTTCTCTTGCTAGGCCAAAGCTACTGTTGCATCGCCAGCACACCAGCTTTCCCCTGGTGATAACAGAACCCTCTCTTCTTTACTACTATTATTAGAAAAACAAAGAGAAAGAGAACAGTTGCTTGAGTACATTTCTGTACATTTTCAATTCTTTTATAACTTCTCAGCTTTAAAGAGTCAAGAAAACAAGGATCTACACATTACCACCTTCCCCCTTCCCTAATATGGAATCTCAGCATTGTTTTCTGGATAGCAGCGGGGGGTGGGGCCTGAAACAGGCAATTTGTGGTTTCTCACTTCTGCTATAGTGTCTCATGACATTAAAACTGCTAGTTTACTCTCCTGCTTCCCCTGTTAGACTATAAACTCCTCAAAGAGCTGCGAATGTTTTCCCAATGTCCTCAGTCGTAGCCGAGTATCCGGCAGTCTGCAGTTGTTTGATTTCTGTTTGCTGAATAAACACACAGTCACTGTCTGATTGCATAAGCAAGTGACCACTCAGACAGGCTCAGGATGGGCTCCAGACATTTTGAGAGCCACAACTCTGACATAGCCGTGACCTACAGGCTGCACCTGTTCTGCACCTGAAAACCCTAAAGCGTTAAGGCAATGCGCTTTTTTTTCAGGAGAGGTGTGATCTTAAGCCAGTGTCCCTGAATAACAAGAATAGAAAATTCTGCACAGCTGCTTGAAAGTGAGATTAAGTAAGCATGTGCACCCCGTAACAAGAAAGCAGTGCATATTGTATCCCACACCTAAGAGGTGGCCTGCGTGTCGATTCCAAGTCATAAGGGTGGGGCCGATGCTGGACGAAACTTGAAAGGCACTTTTCTCTCACCCCTCCCTCCCCTGCTGACGTCACTTCCCAACACACTTCCCGCCAAGATGCTCACAGCAATCCGAAACTTCTTGGGAGGGCAGAAGGGTCAGGTCACGCTAGAGCTGGCAGGAGGCCGAGCGCCTGGGCAGGGACAAGAATGGACGTCTCCGTTGTGGCCAGTCATACCCCACAGTGTCCAAAGCCCACACTTCATTTTAGGCATGAATTAGTCTACCCTTGGCTTTCAGCCAACTCTAGGGTAAGGAAGACTGGCTCCTGGCATGGCACAGCGGACGCTCTGCTAACCTGATTCCCAGTGAAACTGTGGGAAAAAAATTTTTTTTAAATAACCGTTTAAGGTTGATGGAAATGGCTCTGAGGCAAAATAAAACACCTGTTCAAGAACATCTATGAAAATTCAGTAAGAAAGATCAGTTTGTGGAACACTAACCAAGACCACTCCCTCCCTCCCTACCCCAGACTCACCGAGGCTGAGACTACTTCAGACTGCTGTAGCCACAAACAAGCTTTCCTGTCCCCCAGCTTCCAATCGAAGGGTTTTCTCTCCAGGAGGAAGAGGACTTCAGTGTTCTTATTCTGCCCCAGGTACCTGTTGCTGAAGCTGACTCCCAAGAGGGGGCAGTTGGGAAATGAGGACTTCCTGTCTTTGTAAAATGAATACAACAGGCCAAGAAACTGGAGCCCTATGCCCTTCCCTGCATAATGAGGTCATGGTTACACTCCAGAAGAAGCAAGGGAAGAGGACATGAGACTCTTGTCCCCAACCCCTACTCAGCACTAATCTCTTAGGGCAGGGTGGTCACAAGAAGAGAAGAATACTATTGTCCCGCCACAGCTCTAGAGCTCTTGACCGACCCTTTTTGCCTGGAGTGGTGGGGGAAAAGCACGATTTAAAATTATGCCTAATCTTTTTCCAAAGCCATTGACTTGATTTGCAGCAAACCATGGCGAAGTTTAAGCCTAAGGCCTCTCTCAAGAACAATGAGAGTTTTGGTGAAAAGCATCAGGAAGCAGATCTGTATTTAATGCTGAGGTCTTGGGAAATGAGAAATGCAGACCTGGGGGCAATATGGAATAGGTAGGAAAGAAAAAGAAAAAATGTGCACACACCTCCTAGACCTGCTTGCCCAGAGGATGAATAGGGTGCTGGTAAGATAGCCCTGTCACCTGCTCAGAGTAGTCTAAAATAAAGCGTAACAAAGAGGAGCCCAATGACACAGATCGAGCTGCATGCTCAAGCTTTGGCGTAAGTAAGGATCACCAGGAGGACTTGTTCAAATACACAGCCTGCTAGGCCTATTCCCAGAGTTTCTCATTTAGTAGTGGGATCCACAAATTTGCATGTCCAATACGTTTCCAGGCAATATTGATGCTGCTAGTCCACAGACTATAATTTCTGAGCCATTGTTTGGCCTAGTTTGTGAAGCTCATAGTGGATAAATGAAGTTGAAGACAGTGGAAAATCTGGGTTATAGCCTAAAATTCGACAACCTATTTCCAGATGAATGAGTGCAGTGAGCGTACTAGGAGAATAAGCAGCATGAATCAGTTCACCCTCCTTCTGGTCACTATACCCCAGTTTTCCTCTAGGAAACACCTTTTTGCCCATTTTCAGTCCATATGCTTCAGAAAAATTTAATGACCCACCTCTGCCTTTCACACTCAGTGGGACTCAGGCCTAGCTGATCAGGGTTCACATTTTCCTAGCCAGTGAGTGATTCAGAGATTAGTTCAGAGCTTGGATCAAAGCTATTAAGAAATGATGAGACATGTCGTGAGACACCAGAAACTGGGCCCAAGAGAGAAATACTTACTTTTCTCTTCTTTTTTTTTTCATTAAGTTTATTGGTACATTTTAGGTATATAATATGATGACATTCATAATTGGGAATTTGTACCTTTACATGATATATCTTAGTTCTTAATTTTTCCCCATTCCCCTACCCTCCGTCCACTCCTCCCTATTTACAAAAATCTTGCTTCCATTTTTTCCTTTTCTCATATTTATTCCAAAGCCAGTTTTGAGGAAAGACCAGTTGGAGAACTAGCACATCTTGACATTATCACGTGAGCCTTGCATCAAATACACCTGAAGCTTGTCCCCTGTGAACCAGTTAATATACCTTTTCATCACTTGCAATTTTTAAAAGCTGGGAGGGAGGCTCTGTGGCATACTGTCGACGAGAATGGTCATTTCTGGAACCTAAGTCTCTGTAGTCAGGAGGGTAAACATTCTGCACGCTAACTGCAAGAGGCTCCTGAGAGGCACTGGGCCAAGGCTGTTAGGACCAAGAGAGTGTGACCCCATCGGTACAAAGGTAGCAGTCTGGGTGCGAGGATTTGGTCAACTCTGATGCACACAACAGTGTGGGGGGCAAATACGAGGGCAGAGACTTGGAATCAACAAGAACCCCCAGGTGTAGCCTAGGAGGGGCCTGGGGCCCAGATTGGATTGAAAACAAAGTGGTTCTCAGATCAACCTACACTCTGCCCTCTCTGCCTTCCTCCATTGCTAATTCTCTGGCCTTGTGTCTCACCACTCTTTCCTGGATAACTCTCCCCCAGAGTTAGGGGCCCTGACCTTCATATACATCAACCATGCTCTGCTCCCACCTTCAGACCTCTTCGCGCACTTCCTTTCCCCGGAGGCTCTTGCCTCAGATATTCATATGGCCATTTCCTTCTTGTCTTTAACCCTCTGTTTAAATGACACTTTATTAGAGAGGTTGTCCTGAACTACTATATACAAATAGCAAGCCCTGACCACCACCCAGGCTGATCATAAATTCCTTTCCTGCTTTCTTTTTCCACCATACTTGTGACTATTCAACATATTATATATGTACTTGCTTATTTTTTGATTGTCTCTCTTCAATAGCATGTAAGCTCTATTAGGGCAAAGGCCTGAGGTTTTGTTTTGTTTATTTTGCTGCTATCTCTATGGTGCCTTGGATAGCCTAGACCACAATATATGTTCAATAAAGTATTGTTGAATAAATGAATGAATGAATGAATGAATGAATAAGTGAATGAACGAATGAATAAGTGAATGAACGAACTAAGGTTGAGCAACCACAACTGGTTGACTAAATGCTAAGTCTATGTGCATGTTTCCATTATAATCAGCACTAAGTAAGACGGAAGCTGATTCCTTCTTTGTTAAGCATTCCACAGTCTACCCCCTGTCCACCCACCCCATTTACACTCAGTATGCATTGCTTTCAGCTTACTGACATTGAACTCTTGCTAAAATAAAGTCGATGACTAATAGTTTTAAAGCATAACTCATTTTCGGTATCTCTGCATTTTTATTTGGATTCAGTAAGGATCTGCTGAGTGTCATATATATATATATATATATATATATATATATATTCATGAGAGTATGTGTTAGTCTTAGAATAATGTGGGTATTGTGGGTATTGAATGATAAAATTTACAGTCTCATTCACCACTTCAAAAATGATTGTTGGAAATTTAAAAGGCTTTAAAACTCAAAGAAATACAATTATGATAAAAACAAAGATAGCAAATATTACATCTGGCAATAGCATTCTCCCTTCTCCAAGTGATAAGCTAGAGCTGACTTACTAACTCATGAAAGCCAAGTGATTTTTCAGGAACATGGAAAGCCAGTTGTTAAACACAATGATCATTAAAATTTCAATTATTTAAACTTCAACCAATAACTTGTATTTAAAACAAAGGTAGTAAAAACATAAATCCATCATTTCCTTATGATTTTATTACATATCATTATTATTATTACTACTACTTTCAAGGTTATTTATGTCTATAATTATGGTGGCCATTATCCGATGCTGAACTGCTCACCATCTGTTCCCAATTCCACCTTTGATGATATCCACCAGAGGCTTGAAATCTGCCATGGTGGGTGTATTTACACCATGGAAATCAGCAAATGCTACAAATTAGAGCTTTATTTATTGCTCTGTTGAAACTGAGACCTTAAAAAATGATGGGAAGAAGTGTTAATGGTGCCAAATAAAATTAATTGTGTCATGTCTACACCAATTACCATTGTGAAAATCCGGAATGTTCTTCCAGGAATTGAAAACTACTATTTGCATCAGCAGAAGAACTATTCAAATCATTGAGAAATGAGTGAGGTTCCAAAATACATCTTTGTTGTTTTTCTGAGTGATAATATCAACCAACTTTCATATAATAACTATAAATGTTCATTAATTATAAATATAGTTTGACTAGAGATACAAATGTTTGATAAAAATCAATGAATGCATTGTAAATATATGGAATTTATAACAAAAAGTATTGTATATTTTAATTTTATTACTTACAGTGTGCCACATATACTTTACAACAGTTAAAATTGATAATAAACTCATATATATCATTTTCCTACAGTTTCTTTTCAGCAAACTGTTTTTTAAATATTTCTAGCACACTGCTGCTCACCCTTCTCTTGTCATGTATCTCCTTCCATGAAAATGGAGTCACTTTGTAACCTGGATTTACACAAAATTTCTATATCAGAGATTTTATAATCTACAACTATAAATCCACACTGAACTTCATTAAAAACTTTTATGAAGGATTATCCTCTTAGCAAAGAATGATTATTATGGAAATAGCATATGTTCTCCCTGCTGAATATGACTAACTTTACTGGTGTATTAATAAGTTTGCATATGCTAATAACCCTTTCCATTTAGGTTTGTAGAGATTCCTTTCCATGATAAACCATAATAACTACAAAATAAGTGATAGTATATTATCTTCATGGAACTCATGTTTTAAATTCTTGCAGTTGAGATGTGTATTATCTTACATAAAGGTATAACAAGGATAATGTGGGTAAATGTATAAACAAGAAGTGGGTTCTGATTTGTCTCTGTGATGATAATTATTATAAAACACAAAATAAAACCTTGCTGACTAAAAGCAAAATAACATGGCAATGCTACTTTGACAGGATTTCAAACATCTATTTTGCTTAAAACTTGTGAAATACATCATGGAATGTTTCAATTTATGTCACTATTATATCAAAGCTCTTCTATTTTTGTATGATAGGAAAGCATTTGCATTTTTAATTCATTCTAGAGTAAAATAACATTTTAATTCTATCTTCCAAGATTTTAAAATAAAATGAGGATTATTCTGGCTGCATTTATTGTGGATCCTTCTCTTTAGTATCCTCAGTGTTCATGTTGAGGTCCCTTTGGTGATAGACCTATGGGAGAAGAGCAAGTTGGAAACCAGGACATTCTACAGACTTTGAGAGGTGTTCCAAGAAACAAGGGTCTGGAGAAATAATTCTCCTGTATTCTCTACACTGCTAATCTGGCCTCAGTGACACATTAGTCACACATGTGAGTAACAGTTAATTTTTCAGTTCAGTCCAACATGTTGACTAGGTTGAGTGTGCACAGCTAGCCTCCTGAATTCTTTTAAAGGAAATTTTCCAGTTGGATTTTCCAAATGTGAGGCATTTTCCTGGAAAGCATTGTGTGTTTGGAATTTATTTTCTCCACCATTTTGACAAAGCCTATGTCTGCTAGACTTCTGGGCACCAAGAATACATTCTCTTTCCAGGCTTTTTGTATCTGTC